CTGGTCATTTTACCATAAAAATGTATTGTTGTTCATTTTACTATAAAAATCTATTGTTGGCCATTTTACTATAAAAAATGTATTGTTGTTCATTTTACTATAAAAATGTATTACTGGTCATTTTAGTATAAAAATGTATTGTTGGTCATTTTACTATAAAAATGTATTTAGTGGTCATTTTACTATAAATATGTACTGTTAGTCTTTTTTATATAAAAATCTATTGCTGATATTTTTATTTATCTATATACATATCTACGAATCCACTAATTTATTAATAGACAACTCCTCTGATAATCTTTTTTTCTCTGGTTCCTCGACTGCATGAATATAAGCGTCCCATCGTTTTACTGCTGAACTCGCTGGATGTAACCATCATTTCTACACTAACAGATTCTTTTCTCGCACTTCCAACCTGTGGAACTTACTTCTCTGATAACTAAAATCTTCAAAAAATTTAATGCAACGTCAATCGCCAATCTTCTTTATTCTTGAAGCCTGTTCTTTCTTTTGTCCTTTCTTCAATTCTTCCCAGTCTTCTGATTCTCTTTCATTTATACTTTCACTCCCTGTAAACCCCACCCTTGTGTTTTAGTACCATTATCGCCTTGCTTTTGGTGAAATTATTAAAATAAATTTAAATCATATCATCGGGGTATATGATGAAATTTGGCCTTCAGAACTATTGTGTCAGCCGTGATTGCATCAGATTTTTATCCTGCTCAGACACTATTGTTTTGACTGTCGATTAGTTGTCCTACGGCCATTATCTGCGATGGAGGTTACTCCAAGGAAGTATAAGAAAATTGTAACGCTTCACAAACACACTGGTATGCCTTACCAGTGAGTAAATCAAAGTACTATCGACAGGCTCGGTAACTCTCCTGATTTAAATCCAATAGTATTTTGTCAGATGTTATAATGATGTAGGTATGTATTGGCAATTTTTTTGTATAATTTAAAACTTTCCTTCAAAGTCGCTGAAGCTTTTCACAGAAGTTGGGAGGAAATGGAACAATACTTAACTCTATTGTCTAAAAAAGACTTTTAAGGGTGCTGTCTTCTCCACTGAAATAAAGTGGATAAGTAGAAGACTTTCAGTTGTCGATTATAACGCTATAAAATGCCGTATCAAGAACCGGACCACGTGAGGTCACGTGCTATTGCGTAACGTCACATGTCCCATAATCCATTACGGTCTTAAAGCACCACATGTACTGCAGCCATAAAAGGACGATCTATAGTCGTGTAAAGACGCTTTTTAGATCCAAGTTGAATGCGGGAAGTTTGTTTTCAGGCCTCAATTCTTGAACAGTCGGGATTATGAGAAATTGTTGAATGCTTAAACAATGAGAACGTTGCAAACTTGAACTGAAAGACAAGGAAAATAATGGCCATGAACAGATGCTTACATCCCAGGAGAAATGTGTCCAGGCTTTACCTACACCGAAAAGATGATCGAATACATTTGATCGAGGTTAAAGTGTGGGAAATATAAGAATGTAATTTCTTTGAATAAGTCTTTTTAGAATGGATGCTAAGAAGTGCACAGAATAAAATGGTCGTTGTGAAGACAAAAAACGTCAGCGGATTACGCAAGGTAATCTATAATGACAATGCGGATGCATGCAAGGAAGTGTTTGCACAAGAATCCAAGAGATGGTAAATCCGGAATCATGGAAGTGGCTTAGGAACGATATTCTTGAAGTAGGAACCCGAAGGGATGATCTGTTTTGTACCAGAACTAATTTTATCCTGTACTCTATTGATAGAACAGCAATTTAACATGTTTTTAGGCTGTTTTGGAAACTATGGGTGTTCCACACATTTTCAGTGGTTGTACCCAGATGGAACAAAGAAAAGATTGACAGTACCATGAAGAAATAGACCTCAGTATACGTTGGGAACTATAGCCTCGAATGCGCAGACAAGTGGTACAAGCATTCACTAGCATTAGTATCTGAGAATGAGCAATTGAAGCTCATATGGGTTACGACTATCTTGACTGACAAGCCCTTGGGGAGAAATCGTCCTGATATTACGCGTGTGTAAAAGAACACTCATGAATGGATCCTTATAGAGGTCGTAGTACTTCCGTATATGGATATCGTGTGAAAATACAGAGGTAACAGTGATCCAACCGGACAAATCAGAGAAATGTATCAATCGGCAGCTTTTGTAGTCGGCACACTCGGAAGTATTTCCAGAAATCTATCTGCTTCCCGGACTTTCTGGGGATATCAGACATTGGATGTGTGCAAGTGGCAGCGCCGCATGGAACAGCCCGTTTACTGAGGAAAGTGATTCGTCTCTAAGGTGTAAGAGCAGAGATATTATCATATCCGAGGAAACAGCAACAACAAAAACAACAATAATAATTATAATTATAATGTACGAGTGTTCACCACCATGAGTACACAAGAATGAGCAAGTGAAGCTCATGTGGGATACAACCATCTTGACTGACAAGCGCTAGGAAAGAAATCGCCCTGATAACATACTATTGTGCAAGAGCAGTCATGAATGCAATGCGGTATCTTGGGGTAAGAAACCCATTAAGGTGGAGCAGGTGAAAATGCAGAGGTAGCAAGAACTGAGAGGCAAATCAGAGAAATACACAAAGCAGTAGCTGGAGTTGTTCTTCTTGTAGATTGCGCACTTTCGACTATTTTCAGATATCATTCTGTCTCGCAAGATGTCAAGCATCATTCGGGAAGTGCAGTAGACAACGTTGCTTGATTATAACTCATATGCTGCGATAATGCTTATGTCTCTAAGCTGTGCATAGATGACATACGATACGATGATGCTGCTGAGATATCACCCGCAGCCGAAACGCCAGAGAGGATATCAATCAAATAGTACTAATAATCATTCATTTTATTCAGTTAAAGAATTTTTGTCATGACTCCCTTCCATCTCGCAGTTGTCGTTCATGGTGGCATTCAATGCGAAATGAGGCAACGGCTTACCGGGTCTTTTTGCACCAAAGATTTTTAAGTTATTACCCTCTCCCTCCAGGTGGATTTGTTTTGTTTTTTTTAATTTACCTCTCCCCCCCCTCAGGTGGAGTGTTTTTTTTAAGTTACCTTCTTCTAGCCTTTGCCTAAAGAGGCAGGACCTACAATTCTGCAGATGGTTTGAATTCAGTGTTTCCTTCTTCCAGACCGATTGATTTTTTTGGGTTTTTCTAGATTCTTGAGTAAGGAATGCTTATAAATAATCATCAGTTTAGCTGAAAACATCAGACAAACTATGGGAGATGCAAAGTGATACAATTCAATGTCTAATAAGCGAAAGTGAGTAAGCGATGTTTTTGAATTTTTTTTTTTTATTTTGAGAAATATTTGGCAAATTTAAATTAATTTATTTTGAGATTAATGTTTATTATTTCTTTCGAATAACATGATGTCATGGGTTTGAATGTTTTCTTTTAATTTTTTAACTTTTTTGTAGTCATGTATCTTTACTTAAGAAAGTAGTAATTCTTTCTGGAATGGGAATGCATTCCAATAGAGGCATGACATGTGGAATTAGAACAATCTACCCAACAAAATAAAGGGTTGGGTTTGAATTTCCAATCACCCGAAGAAGGCCGGCGTGTATAACTGCCGAAACACTGCGAATATGGCAATGAAAATGAGGATAACGGTTCGAATAATGTAAACATGTAACGTTTCGGCCATTGTACGCCCCGGCCTTCTTCAGGTTACCGGAATTTCGAACCCTTTATTTCGTCCATCGGGGTAGATTGTTCTAGTTCCACATGCAATACCTCTTTCGGATGTCTCAGTTATTTTCCTTTAACTCAACTCTCCAAGTTATGGTTCACCACTGCTGAATATAACAATGAAGATGAGGATAACAGTCCGAAAAATATAAATAATGCAAGTAATCATAATACCTCATCTCAGAGATATAGAGGCCAATATAATATAAATAATGCAATTAATCATAATACATCATCTCAGAGATATAGAGGCCAAAATAATATAAATAATGCAAGTAATCATAAAACATCATCTCAAAGATATAGAGGCCGAAATAATATAAATAATGCTAGTAATCATAATGCATCATCTCAGCGATATAGAGGCTGAAATAATATAAATAATTCTAGTAATCATAATGCATCATCTCAGAGATATAGAGGCTGAAATAATATAAATAATGCTAGTAATCATAATGCATCATCTCAGAGATATAGAGGCTGAAATAATATAAATAATGCTAGTAATCATAATGCATCATCTCAGAGATATAGAGGCCAAAATAATATAAATAATGCTAGTAATCATAATGCATCATCTCAGAGATATAGAGGCTGAAATAATATAAATAATTCTAGTAATCATAATGCATCATCTCAGAGATATAGAGGCTGAAATAATATAAATAATGCAAGTAATCATAATGCATCATCTCAGAGATATAGAGGCTGAAATAATATAAATAATGCTAGTAATCATAATGCATCATCTCAAAGATATAGAGGCCCAAATAATATAAATAATGCTAGTAATCATAATGCATCATCTCAGAGATATAGAGGCTGAAATAATATAAATAATGCAAGTCATCATAATTCCTCATCTCAGAGATATAAACAGATATTGAGAAATGGGTATATAATACGGGGCGTTGATTTATATTTTGATAAGATTTGATAGCGGGACTTGCGAGTATTTTCCTTCTAATTTCTTTTCTCTTTTGAGTGTGGCATTCTTCAGACCAAAGTTGTGGCTGAATTTGTTTCTATCTATAACTAATGTATTTGATAAATTGCTGTGGGTAAAAGATCCCTTTCGTGATCTCTTGACTGACGTTTCCAGCTAACCTGATGAATATTTATCAGAGTCCCTGACTCATGAATTTCGAAAAACCGATAATATTTTTGCTCTTGTATATAAATACTTGTTACAAAATAAAATCCTCTGCATTTGTCTTGATAAGTTCCACAGAAGAAATTTCGAAATTTTTACACACACACACATCTATACATATATATATATATATAAAGATAGATAGATAGATAGATAGATAGATAGATAGATAGATAGATAGTTATCTTAAATAGAATTGTTTTTTCTATTTTAATTATAGATAATTAACGATTAAAAAACAAATTACGAAATTCCAAAAAAGTTAAATGTAAAATGTTACTCATAATTCTTCGATCAAACGTAAATAAAGAATAAAATATTTCTTTTGTTTATATAGGGTCGGCTGATGAAACTTAATATAAACAGACTCAAGAAACGAAAGATGGTGAACCGAGCAAGCACTATGTAAACTGGAAATAAAATGCGTTATTTTAATCGTCGGCACTGTCAAGATTGTCGAGTAAATGCTGGCCAGTGGAGGAGTCATGCTCTGCTTGAGTTGTTCTTTTAATACGACTCTGACTACTAGAATACAAATAGGCAGGCATATATATATATATATATATATATATATATATATGTATATGTATATATATGGAAATTAATCTGGCCTAGATGTAAATGTTCTACTAAAGAAAAATTTCCTCTTTACATGAATCGAAGGAAACCCATTTTTACACTCCATAATGTTTATTTACAACTGTAATTAAACAATATAATAAAAAAAACAAAAGAGAGTCGATGTCGCTATTTGAACAAATTTAATTTTTTTTTTCCTAGTGATTGGTTTTGGCCAAATCTGTAACGTCTGTCTCAAACGAGATCCAAAGATTTGAGTTCAAACCTCGTTATAGGTAACTTCTTTATTTCTGGCCTAGGATGCTTACAGAAATGAAAGAAAATATCCTTACGGTTGCGAGAGAAAGCAAGAATAATGAAAGACAAATTCATAAATAATTAATTATATAAATGCAGTCGATAAGAAATAATCTTTTTTAAAATTATAAAAAACGTCTACAGAAATTGATCAGTTATAGTTCATAGTCATGATTCATAATTTTAAAGCAATTTTGTCTTAATTGCAACGTTTGCCTTTTCTTCCATGAATGATTATGAAAACAATGATAATTCATGATTATATTTTGCGTGAACATTATTTCTATAGCGTCATTATAATGAAGCAAGCATTCGTTATCAACCGATACATTGAATAAGACGAGGTGATATTTCTTAGCACGAGAAAGATTTAATAGGGTCCAACCAAAAGTATTTTACCAAAATTTATTTCAGTAACCTATCTAAAGACCCTCTATTAATTCTTTATTTTAGGAGGCAAGATGGCGTAATGGTTAGCGGCTCGGATTGATGAATTGGCGTGCTGAGTTCAAATTCCAGTCGAGTTTATTACATTTACTTAATTGCTATTACACTTGGGAAAGGTGTGAACCCATCTCTTCTTCCTCCCATTAAAATAGCAGAAATAAATTCTATTATATATATATATATATAAAGAAATATAAAAAAGGTGTGATATATTTATGGGATAAAGTACTCAATTTCAGAGATAGAGAGTATGTAAATATAAATATAAAAGTGAACATTGAAGTCAACACTCAGAGGCGACAGGCTGATTCATGTTGGACACAATCGTCAGTGTTGACTTCAATGTTCACTTGTATGTATATATATATATATATATATATATATATTAAGAAACAAATTATAAAAATGCGATTATTGGCGAAATCACTTCGCTAACACTTCATAAGATATTAACTATCAATTCCTTGAATAATGAGATCCTTATATTCGAGTTGTTGTCAGATGGAAGTCACATGCCAAGTGATTTCGCCATTAATCACATCACCATTGCTATTTAATTCTTTGCATAAACTGTTTCTTTATTATATATAATATAAGCTGCATACTTTAATATATATATATATATATATATATATATATATATATATATATATATATATATATATATAAGCAAGTGTAAATGGATATAAATCCGACAGAATGAAGAAATTTTGAAAAAACAAAACAAAATCCTTAAATGTAGTTAAAATGAAAGAAATGTCGACGTCTGACGTTTCGGTTTAATTAACCTTTTTCAAGACAATACGGTGAATACTAGACCTGGTTTCTTTTAATATTTCCCTTTTTAGCGAGATTGATGCTCGACAAGCATACACATAAGAATTTTAGAACCTAATAGAATTCTTTTCATTTTTTTTTTCATTTCAAAATAATCAGAAACTTTTTTAGGAATACGTTATGAAAGCGTCGCCCATGTGACGACGGCGTGACCATGTTAGACGGAAGGCTGATCATTTTAAAATTTTCAGTTATCTGTTCTGAATAAGACTTGTGTTTTTATGTCCATCGTATTTGTCATATTGAACTGAATTGTATTTTGATGAATATTGTCTTGAAAAAGGTTTATTAAACCGAAACGTCAGACGTCGACATTTCTTTCATTTTAACTACATTTAAGGATTTTTGTTTGTTTTTTCAAAATTTCTTCATATATATATATATATATATATATATATATATATATATTAAAGTGTGAAGCTTATATTATATATAATAAAGAAACATATTGCCATATACACGACGATTCGTCCGTTGTACGCTCCGGCTTTCTTCGGTTGATTGGAATACGTCCACTGGGGTAGATTGTTCTAGTTCCACGTGCCATGACCCTTCCAGGTGCCTCAGTTATCTCCCTTTACCTTAACTCTCCAATTTTTTGTTCACCACTGCCGTAGCCAGATTCGTAGCCAGATTGAACTCACAACTCTTTGGGTCAAGTCAATGGATCCAACCAACGCTTTTATCCAATATAAGTTGACATAGAAGGTGATGAGGAATGGTAAGAGAGACGTGGTCGAGTTTAGACAGGGAAGGGAGGGTTTTAAAATTTATTTTTATATTTCTTTTTTATCATAATACTTCATATTGAGGAAGGAAGGGCTAAGTGTCATACTATTTAATCTATTTAATCGGTCACCTCAACGGAAATGATATGCTAAATTATATGACTGCCCGTCAAAAGGTGTAAATTTTAAATTCATTTTTCGTTTCACCTTTTGAAAGAGAAGTCTAAAGATCCAGAGAAAAATAAAATTCTCTGGTGAAATAATTTTTTACAAATGAAGACTTAAAGTGGTCTGCTTTTCCTTAAATTATATATATATATATATATATATATATATATATATATATATATATATATATTGTTGATTGTTATAGTTATTATTTTTCGGACGATTTTTGAAATGGCTATTACTCAGCCTCAGCGGGAGGGACATATGTATGCCAGGTACCATTCGGTCTGTGATGTTTTTAGCATTGTTTTATTTTCAGTTGAAACCAGGGCGCTGTAATCGATAGAACACTGCGTATTCGCCTACGGCAGTTTCGTGAAGAATAACGAGTCTGTCACAGCAGTTCTCCCCGAGTTTCTTCACCGATTCAATATCACAATCTTACGTTGGGTTTATGCACTTCGTACATTAGGTACAGTAATGAATAGCAGACCGATGGGGACCCCACGAACGGTACGTACCTCCAGAAAATGTGGAACGCGTCAGACAAGCGTCACTTTCAGAAATGCACCAATGAAAACAAACACCACATGAGGGATGTTTTCCCCACTTGATTTTGTCAAATGCTGATTCAATATGAACACTTTGATGTCAGTAAAAAATTTTGAAGCTAAAATTAATGAGGTGAATTTTTTTAAAAACGTCCATCCTCTACCTCACACTGTTTATCTCAATTATATAGGGTGAGTCAGAGAAATGGCTATTATTCAGCCCCAGTGGGAGGGACATATGTCCAACATGTACTATTCGGTTCGTGGTGTTTTTGCAGCATTTTTTTTTTTCATTTGGCGCTGTGGATGATAGAGCACTTCGTCTTCGCCTACGACAGTTTCGTAAAGAGTAACGAGTCTGTCACAGCAGTTCAGCTTGAGGTTCGTCACCGATTCAATATTCATTGAAATCAGGCTGTTCCCACTCGTAACACAATCATATGTTGGGTTCATGCACTTCGTACACAAAGCACACCAATGAATAGCAGACCAGTGGGGGCCCTATGAACTGTCCGTACCCCAGAAAATATGAAACGCATCAGACAAGCTTTGCTGCGCAGTCGGAATCGTTCTGCTCAGAGGCATGCTACTGAACTTGTCATCGATAATCATTCGGCAAGTTGTATCTTGCAGGAAGAACTTCATTTCCAGCCCTACAAATTGGTCATTGGGTCACAGTTAGACCAGGGTATTATACACGGCGGCTTAACTTTACACGTCAGATGGAAGCAATGTCTAAATCAAATGACAACTTCATTATGTTAATGAGCGATAAAACATTGGATTGTCGATATTGGACTCTTGAAAATCTGAGAGAACTGCACGACAGAGTAATGCTGGAAATAGTGGAGACCAACTTCCAAGAACGCCTTATTTAGATGTTATTAAACTGCCGTAAAATGCATATTGTTTTGTTTTCTTTACGATCCCTCTACTGTGTATACAGGCCAGCAGACGAAAATATATAACTATATTATTTAATAAATAAATGCAACGTCTATTCAAATATGAGTATCCACTAAAAATAGCGATTAAAATGACAAAAACCTATCGGATGAATAATTTTTAAAAATCCATCATTTCTTTAGAAATATATGTATGTATAGGTATGTGTGTATATGTACGCATTCTCTCATATGTCTGTCTGTGCTGTGTGTGTGTGTGTGTGTGTGTGTGTGTGTGTGTGTGTGTGTGTGTGTGTATGTAACTGTTTCGTTTGATTTCCTAAAAATTCGTATCTCTTGTTCATTGAAGAATGTGTAGATGGTGAGTTCATTGACGACGGAAAAAACGGTTTGCACGGTATTCAGATATCAACTGACACCAGCTTCATTCTATCACTCTATCTGAGGAATCTACATAGCTAGCTATATAGGCAGATAGATATGGAAAAACGTGATAGATAGATAGATAGATAGATAGATAGATAGATAGATAATGAATATAATGAGATAGATAGATAGATAGATAGATAGATAGATAGATAGATAGATAGATTTCAATAGGTGTGTATGGTGTTTTGAAGTAAATTATAATGAAAATACACTTTTGCACCATCTTCAATCAAACAGATCACAAGAATTCTTTTGAGTCACGCCAAATTTTTAGCCATCCACACAATGAAAGAACACGCCTCACTTCCGGTTCCTGTCAGCCACGTAATATCCACTTTGATGGCTGATCACCACATTATGACTATTGCAGTAATGTTTACGGGATTAGCGTTAGCCAATTTTCTTTTTTTCTATTTTTATTATTTTATTTTTACTTATGCATAATTTCGAAAACATGAATTTAACTCTAGGCATCACTCACTCTCTCTGCCTCTCTCTCTCTCACACACAGGTTTTCGATATTTCTCTCTTTCTCATATATTTTTTTATTCTCTTGGTTTTCTGTCTAATTTAAAACTCTCCTTAATATATCTATATCTCTTATCTTTTTCATTCTCTTTCTGCTCTCTCTCTCTCTTATTCACTTTTTCTACTTCTTGAATTCTTACATTCTATCAATCTAACTATCCATCACTTGCTTTCTCTTCTTCTCTTTCTCTGTCTCTCTCTCGTACTTTCTCTCTATATATCTTCCTTTTTTCTTTCTCTTATTTTCTGCCTCTACATATATAAATACATCTATCTATCTATCCCTTGCTTTCTCAATATATCTTCTACCTTGACAATTTCTCATTCTTCGCTCCTTTCCGCTCTCTCACTCTCCCCCCTCTATCTCTCTCTCTCTCTATATATATATATATATATATATATATAACTATGGACCTAAAGAGCCAGGTAATCGTCAATCGTCAGGGTGCACTGACGACAGTGCACCCTGATGATCCGTATAGGTGAAACCTAGGTAAGTTTACCTGGCTCTTTAGGTTCATAATTAGATTTGCTCTACTTAGTGTATTGATCACTTTACACAGTTACTTTTGTTTTACTCGTGTTGGAGGGTTTTTTTTTTCCTTTAGACTCTGAGCTTGGATTCTGGACGATTGTTTTCGCCTGAATTACACGTTCTTAGTTCTTTTTTTTTTTTTTTTCTCTCCCTTATTTTTCCTTGGGTATTGGTTTGTTCATTTACAAGCCAAAACACCTAAGGTTTTTCCAGACGAGTATGACTATTTATATTTATTTAAATTTAAAAGCAAAAATACAACCTCTTTTTACGAAAAAAAAAAAGAAAAAGGTCGGTGTTTATAAGCTTTGTGGACTTTACTCAGATCAACTGATCAAATATAACCTTTGTCAAATTTAAAGTAAGGGAAGAAGCAAAAATTAAGAAATTATTTTTCATAAATGTGTCATAAATCGTAGAGTGGGATTCAATGACAGCACAGACGTTGAACAGGAGCGGATCTAAATTGATACATATTATATATTAAACAATGTCATTTTCTAAGAAAAAGTGGAATGGTAATTTAACAAAATGCTATATATTCTTTCCCTACATAAAAAATATAGTTAATAAATAGCTTCTTTAAGAAAATAGTAAATAATTTAAACGTATAGAATTATTTGGTAAATTAATATGCAACTGTTGACTAAAGATTCTTTATATAAGATGTTAATAACAATAATCAAAATGTCAAAAATACCAACCAAATATCAATGCATCCGTACAAAATCTTATTAATACTACCGGGAGATTAATGCAAAATTATATTAAATCCAAATTAATGTTACCAACAGAAAGCTAAGCCATATATGGTGCAATACGGTTCAACTAAAATCTAAGAAAAATCATTGTCAAATTCTACGTCTAACTGAATTGTAAGGTAAAAGGTATACTGTGTTTACAATTTACCGTTAACTCAGATCTTTGGTTTAATAAAGCATTCTTATCTGAATCTGATAATTTGCAATTTCTCACGTAAACACAGAAAGCAGGGCTCATATAAGGGTCTACATGTCCTTGCCATTTAAAAAATTTTCCATTTCACCTTAGGAGTTTTTTTATTATCTTTCAAACTCCAAAAATATTTAGAAAGTGATGTATTATTTCTATAAGTATTATTAGTAAAGAACAATATATGGTGATACCATCTAGTCTTGAACGAATTCTTAGTACTAACAATATAGAACTTTTCAGCACTCGGATTTTCTATTGTAGAGATAGAACGAAGTTAAACAAGAGATTTGTTTAACAATGGGCATTGGTAAGAAATCCTACAATTATATTGGTCAGTATCATTAACAATATTTTAATTGAAACTTGTATTATGATTCAATATTGCTCTACTTTGTATTGAGCCCTCTTTTTAATTAAATATTACGAACGTTAGAATTGTACTCTCTTCGTTCTCAAATTACCTGGAGATATATATATATATATATATATATATATATATATATATGCAAAATACTTTACTGAATTTCAAAATGAATTTAAATTGATTAAAATGACTGATTTTATATATACATTATAAACAGAATTACGTTTTATTGAGAGAATTGTAATTCTCTCAATAAAACGTGATTCTGTTTATTAAAAACGTTTTAAAAATAAAATATTCATCTAAAAATATACTTGGGGAAGATTAGCTGATTTGAAGTTGAATTAATCTGATTTGTAATAAATATTCCGTTTTGTTTAAAATATCGCACAAGAGAATTTTCAACAGTGGTTTAGATGTTTTTGTGCTGTTGACAACTATCTAGATAGACTTATATTTGGAATTTGTTTCTGCAAAAATGACTTGACGAATATAATTTTTTAAGTGCCCAGTAATCTTAAAAATTTCGGAAAATATTCTAAGTATTCTGATACCACTCATATTTTCTGATTATATCAATTATGGACGTCCGTATTTACAATATCGACAAGTTTATGCACACACAAAAAAATCAAAATTCTTTTTAAAATGATGTGTGTTGCTGAATTTTAGTAAGCTTTTCGATTTATGATTAGTAAATATAGTTTTACTTAATAACAATATCACCTAACCGGTATAAATTAATATGGAGTTTTAACAGATTTAAAACATTTTTAAATGAAAACAAATCTTGTAAAAATTCGTTATTTATCGAAAAATATATTTCTTAAGACAATAGTGTCGATAATATATCATATTCATGAAAGCAATTAAAAGATTTTCTTATTAAATAATATCTTAATTTTATTGCAATTTTTATATTATACTGAGCAGATTTTCAGTAACAGGGGTCCTGAAAAAATTGATGACTTCAATTCTCCACGGATATCTGCTTATAACTAATATCAACATTAAACTGCACAAAAATAAATTTCGCGAAATTTCATAAAATTAAATAAATGAGGGGGTAACAGATACAAAAAAGACGCTATACTCACTTATAAATTATGGATTAAAAATATAATTTAATAACTAAAAATTCCATTGATCTTTGCTCTTAATAATAACAAAGGTTTTGACGATAAGACATTCTTTTTATTATTTTGGGGGCATTTTTGCATCGTATATGCTCAGTTTTTAGCGAATCTTTAGAGGTACCTATATACAGTGTGCGGTGGTTAAATTGTCGTCTAAATTACCCATTTAACAAATATATTTATCTAAATTGCCCAAAAATATCTTAAAACACTAAAGAGTAAATTTATTCAAGAAAATTGCCATTGGATTCAACCACAGCCTCCAGACGACTTCAGAATCTCCTGGAACTCATCTGAACAGTCTCCTTGTATAAGCCGGTGAATGCTGCCATAATCCTTGCCTGCAGTTCATCTTTGGGGTTAGAACGAGTTCTGTTGGTCTCGCGCTAGACTGCGCCCCACACATAATAACCAAGGGGGTTGCAGTCTGGGGAGTTAGATGTAAAGGATGACGCTGTCGTAGAAATTGTCTGACCGTCATGACTGGGTTCTCCTGTTTGTGTGACTCATGTTGCCAGACACAGAGATTTCCAACAGCCAACCTCTTGACCCAAGGCAGCGCGACCTCACCAACTGACTTGATGTAGGCTTCAGTGTTAGACTGAGGTCATCACCAACAAATTCGGGAGCTCTTTTCTTATCAGAACGATCATAATGTGTTTTCAGAACTGTTGTACCTTCGTAATCACCATTAAACTCATCTAACTCTTCTCGAATCTTCTGCACCGCCTTCAAATTGATATCCAAAGAAACTGAAATATTCAGATTGTAATTTCCGGCGTGAATACCAAGCAATACAACATGCCGTTTCCAAATTTCTGGCGGAATAAAATGCGTTATTGTACTCTTTTTCTCACAGACGGTGCGCAACTGACCCTATTATACTGTGAAGTCGACAAAATCAAAAACAAACAACGCATGCGCGAGATTAAAAATAAAAAATGCCGACAATTTACTCAGCGCAGCCTTATATATATATATATATATATATATATATATATATATATACGCATGAATAAATTAGATATTGCTTCGACTAATCTGAGAGTCATCTTTCAATAATTCTTATGGATTATTAAATATCTAAAGGAAAAATAATTGATCCTTGATATAGGCATAAACAGATAGAATTGAATACTGTGAGATTTTTATATAACTACATACAGAGACATGGATGGAGTGAAATTGACATATCCCTACATAGATAGATAGATAGATAGATAGATAGATAGATAGATAGATAGATAGATATGGACAGAGTTATAGGCAGACAGAGTCAAAGTGAAATTGATATATCCATATATAGATGTGAACAAACATAGACAGATACAGAAAAGTCATAGATAGATAGATAGATAGATGAAGAGACTGAGATAGATAGATAGATAGATAGATAGATAGATAGATAGATAGATAGATAGATAGATATGAATAGACTGAGATAGATAGATAGATAGATAGATAGATAGATAGATAGATAGATAGATAGATATGAATAGACTGAGATAGATAGATAGATAGATAGATAGATAGATAGATAGATAGATAGATAGATAGATAAATTTGACCCTAAACTCTCACCCACTTTAAGCAAGAGGAAAACGATAAAAACTGACGGAGCTCACTTCTACGAATTCAATACCGATGCCGTTATACCCCCACCCCCGCACGCATGAAACCATCACAGACTCTCCCTGACATCGACC